AAGAAGGAGGGGGGGAGGGTGTGCTCCAGGCTGGAGCAGAGAGTCCCCCGGGCTGTGGTGCAGGCCATGGTGAAGGAGGCTGTCCCTCTGCAGCCTCTGGGCAGAGTGTAGATGTCCACCTGTGGCCCATGGAGGACCCCACGCCAGGGTGGGTGGATGGCTGAAGGGGGCTGTGGCCTGTGGGAAGCCCACACTGGAGCAGATTGCTTGCCAGAACCTGTAGCCCATGGAAGAGACAGATGTCCACGCTGGAGCAGATTGGCTGACGGGAAGTCATCTCTGTTACACAGGGAACAATAGTGACTAATATTTAAGCTATGAACAGAAGCTTCACTGAAACTACTACCCGCATTTTCTCTGCTGATGGCTATAATCTGAGCTCCAAGTTTACCTCTGGATAGGCATAGATGGTATAAGATTGTAGACTCTACCAGACCTCATGATAGCTGTAATCTAGGAAAACAAAAATTATTTCATATGGTAAGTTCTTCAGCATTTTGAAGAACTCTCTTGCTAGCAAATGAAGTCTTAGAGTAGCAGTTAAATGTGGAGAAAGAAAAAACCCAACTTTTCTTATCTTTAAGGATCAATATTCAGGAATAATTTTCATTTAACCTTTTAATTATCTTAGAATAATTAGTATGCTGGTCCAGCTCTTGATCATTTGTCACTTCAGTAGTCTAGAAGAAGTATAGATACACTGAAAGGAGCCATAAAAAAGCTGCAATAACTTAGTCATGTTTTTAAAAAAGCCTAATCTTAAACCTTCAGATGTCTGACACTGTGAATTGTTAAGCTTTGGTCACAAAGGAGGTCAATCTGATGCAAAACAAGGTAATAGCACTTAATCCCTTCCTCAGAGAGTAAGTTACTAAGGTTTACTATTTATTATGTGATACCGTAGTCTACAAGGAAATGAAACTATTCTTTGAGCTCTTTTGGAATGCTCCAGTTAGAGTCCTTTACAAAGATAGTGTTGGTGACTGTCTTCTTGTGCAGCACAATGATTGAACGTGATGGGAGTCTCTGTATAATATTCCCTGACAAAAAAAAGGCAACTCACAAAATTTTCTCAAAGTAGTAGAAATTTTGCTTAAACCACGTATTCAGTTTTTGTGTATTCTTCTCAGTCTTCTGGAGAAGACACTTAGCAGAATTGTGTTTCTATAAGAGGACAAAGTCTTTCAGAACACTCCTGTGTGTTTTTCGTAGTCCTGAGTGGTTATATTAAAGTGACGCACTGTCATCCTGAAGACCAAGGCCCTCAGTCAGCTGCCTGAACTCTGGCTTAGATGTTCATGCAGTGTCACTTCTATCAAGTTGTCAATTTGCTTAAGAGGACTAGGGCCAGCTTCTCAGGAACAGCTACAAAAAAACCCACATTCTGTGGTTGACAGACACAGCAGGGCATGGAGAGGACAGAAAGACTGGGGTATTCTTTCTAATACCCTCAGTTAGTTTTCGTGGTGACAGATGGTTATAGTTCAGTCTAAATGATGGACCCAACCTTAAAGTTACTTGAGGAAAGATTCCAACACTTTTAAACCTGTGTATCAAAACACAATTCTGATGCGAAGAGAGAAATAAGAATGGCAAGATTTGTCTACAGATGATAAGGTTGTGTACAGCTTTTGAGAAAGTAATGTAAATTTAAATTACAATCAGTGAGAGACCTGTCAGTTCAAAAACCTTGTGCAACAGTGTCTGAAAGGTTGTGTGCTTGTACTGCTGCTTAACATAAACATCGGTTCTATGGAGTATCTTGTCAAACAAGTATTGTCAAATACTTGATCAGATAGTGCAGCACACTTAAAACACTGACTAAAGTAATGTGGAATTACACACATATATGTACTGATAGTTTAGTGTACTTGGAATCTTTTCAGGCCTTCAGTAAGAAGAAGATTGATGACCGAAAAGAATGGTTAACTAACTTCATGGAGGACAGGCGACAACGTCGGCTTCATGGTCTTCCTGAGGTGAGTCCTAAATCATAGTGATAAATCCATTGGGTAAGATTTAAATGTTGTGTAGATTTTGTATTGAAAGAATAACATATGTGTGTTTTTCAGCAATTTTTATATGGTACAGCAACAAAACATTTGACTTACAATGATTTCATTAACAAGGAGTTGATCCTTTTCTCAAATTCAGACAACGAGAGATCTATTCCTTCCCTTGTTGATGGTAAGATAATAATCCATTACGATTTGTTGGAACATTTCTCTTTATTGTTGGTATTTAAGCCTGTGATGTGTATTGGAAATCAATGCATTCAAGTAGAGAAGAGAAGAATTTTTATGTTTTTGTTTGCTATCATTTATATGCTAAAGAAATTTAAGCTGTTGCTGAGCAGCCTTTTTACTTAACCAAACCTATTCCCTAGACCAGACGAGTGATTTATTTCTAGTCAAAGCACCAGAGAAAACAAGTCTTTTAAGTGCTCATAATAATTCAAATTCTAGTCAGCATCTTAGTGCAGATGAGGATGCAAATGTTTCCTCCCTTCAGTCTTATGCCACAGGCAGTGTTTCAGTGGGTACTGACTTTTCCTATATTCTTGCTGGGGTTCTGTCAGTCAGGTTTGATAGCTTTCCCTTTGCAGTACCATGAACATTGAAAGAAGCAGCTTACTACACTACAGTTTCATTTGTAAAAGTGTCTGCAGACAGCATGAGCAGGAATTTCTTCTGCTGGTATTATTGTCAGTGTGCATATGCTTACAAAGATACAGAAAAAAAAGCCTTGAGTTTTCATAGAGGGGGGAAAAAAAGTGCTCACTAATCTCCCCTTTCTAGTACATTTTTTTTACAGTGGAGTTGGTTGTCCTTCGTGCAACAAAGGCTTTTTATATTTTGAATGAGAAAGTGGATAGATCATAAGGTGGATAGGGGTACTGGACTCCTGGTAGGATGGATCTCCTGCTCTAGTGCAGAATGAGGGTGGGTTATGTATGCAGATACATCTCTAGGGAATCAAAGGACATCAGTCTCTGTTTCAGCTTCTCCAGACTTGCTTCCTCCCATAGCTGGGTACTGGGATTAACTGGTAGTTCCTATGCAAATATTAGTTTACTGCCCTAGAGGAAGATTCACTATAGAGCCGCATGTTTCAAGAGGTCATTGTTCCTTCTAACATACTCTACCCTGACTGCTGTTCGTTTGAGTTGAAGTTCTCCAAGACTGCATCTATGAAAGTGTAAGAAAATGAGAAGGGAATATTTTTTTTCTTTATTTATATAGTTAGGGAGGGTGTCTGTATATGTAATACAGTGTCTGTATATCTGTTATACATATTATGTGTAGCTGCTGTCAGTGTTACATGTGATGTATAACACTATACATAAATATGTTATTATACATAGAACGTTTTACATACATATAATTGCTATCAGTGTTTCTGCCAGCTTCAGCTGTGATTTTGCGTTCTGGGCATGGATATATGAACTGCTCAACAATTAGTGCTCTAGAAATGGTTTTTGTTCTTCAGTATCATCAAGCGATATATAACAGGCTAGTCTGGTGGCAAATGTCAGAAAAAATGAAAGGGCAGAAAATTCTGACTATCTCTTCACAGTTACTAGTTGCTGCTCTTGGTGATTCTCCTGTGTAAAGGAAATTCTCTAAGTTTGTTACATTCCATAGCTCTTTGGTAGGAAAGCATGATGCAGGCTCATGTAAAGGAAATTGGATATTCAACTGGATATTTAAATGAAATTTCTGCTCTTATGCTTGACCCGGGCTAGTAATGGTAACATGTAGCAGTATTTTAGTGCATTTCAGAAATGTATGTGAATTAAAACACTGAATAGATCAATAAATGTGATCTAGAACTAGTTATCAGTTCTAGATGACATGCAGAAAAAAATGATGCAATGATGTTTTACTTACAGTATGCTTGAACAGTAAAAATAAATCAGAAGATCAAGGAGAATGGCTTCTTTCTCAGAACTTTAAAAGATCTCAAAAGGAGACAAAGAGTGTATTTTTTTGTTGAATTGTAATGAGTCTTTGAGAATTTCACACCAGAAAGAATTTTAAAATACATGTAATATTCAGTTGCAGTTGTCACTCCTCTAAATTGTTGTTACTAGGAAAAATATTTTGCTGAATAGACTGGAAAGAAATGACTTGTGGAACCTGTTCATTTAATGTAAGGTTACTGTTTATCAGAATGATGTATTTTGCATAGTAATGGTTGACTGTTTCCACTTTTCTATAAACTTTTTCAGTTCGATAAAGTATATTATTGTTTTAAAAGAAACGAGATATTAATTTGTTTGGTTAATACTACAGTGTGAATTTGTTTCCATTTAATATTTTATACTTCTTTTGAGAGGTTAGAAATGATAATAAGGCAAAACAAGTTTATTACTTAAAAACATGTGCTTGTATATATGTTGAAAATGAGATGTTCTTCTCAATAGGTTTAAAACCAGGGCAACGTAAAGTTTTATTCACTTGCTTTAAGAGAAATGATAAACGTGAAGTAAAGGTTGCTCAGCTGGCTGGTTCTGTTGCTGAAATGTCAGCTTATCACCATGGGGAGGTGAGTATAAAGGCCGTTAAAGTTGTGAGGGTTTTTAGGCTATATAAAACATTAGCTAAATATCTACTGCGTGGAAGTTGCAAGCCTATTGACTGGCAGTCTACTAATCACAAATTTACTTTAAAGAAAATGAACCGAACAGTACATAGCTTAGTAAGATGACGTATTTCCATTCTTTTCAAGCTTTTGTGCACAGTAGTATTGCAAATAGTTTATGGGCTGTGGTGAAATAGTAGATAAATAATTACCCAGGTAACTTCTAGATTCTCAGTTCATAGAAGCATTGTACTAGGACAATTTCTCTCTTAGGTGAGAAATGCAATCTTTTAAGGTAAGAAGAAGAGATACAGTTCTTGAAAAACATGATACAGAGTTGGAAGAAAAATTTTCCTAGCTCTTGTTTTTCTTGTATTTATCTGAAATATTATCAGGAGTTGTTATATTGACAGTCTCCATCCATTCCTTCTTGTTTCTCTTTAAAAGCAACAAGTAGCAGGTTGTGCAGTACTAAGTGCAGTCAGTTTATGCCCTTTCCATTCCTGCAGAGAAGTGCTTTAGAAAGAAAGGAGACGCCCAGGGGTTTTCATAAGCGTAAACCCTAAAGACACTTAAATCAGAGAGCCAATGTGGCTGTGGAAGAGGACCAGCTCTTATAATAGGTTTACAATGTTCCTTTCTCAGGGAGACTATTTTTTTAAAATTGATTTCTGGTTAGTCACACAATTTTTGGATGCTAAAAATGTATTTTACTGGCTAATGAGGAAAGACTCTCTCTTCTTATACCTATTACTATGAATATGTATTTCCTTGCAGCAAGCATTAATGATGACTATTGTGAACTTGGCTCAGAACTTTGTTGGAAGTAACAATGTTAATCTGCTACAACCTATTGGTCAGTTTGGTACCAGGCTTCATGGTGGAAAGGATGCTGCCAGCCCTCGTTATATTTTCACCATGTTAAGGTAAACGCAAGTGTAGAGCTAAACACATGCTTTTAAAATGCCTTTTTATGAAACTAATCCTTTCACAGTACTACTTTTTTTTTTTTTTTGGAAGAAGAGCAGGGGAGGATCAAAATATTTTGGTAAAAGCTCAAATTCCACCTTACATCTGTGTGCGTTTTCTGCATGGACTTTTTGCGTGATTTTCCAGGCATAGAAGTGCTGTGGGAATCATAGCTTTTAAGAATTGACCTTGGAATCATAAGGGTGAAGACTGAAAGTGTAGATCACTCAGATTAGTTACTGATTTAAACTGTGACTTCTTGCAGAAGTAGTTTTCAGTTTCCCTGTTCAGAGTGAAATCGGTTTCACAACAGAAGGTGTAGTGTTGCCTGGTGGTAAGCCCTGCAGCACAGGTTAGACTGAAATTTGAGACGGATTCTTTCCTTTTGGATGAGTTTTTTCATATCAAGCTAAATTACACATATGTAATTAATAATGAAGATCTAATTTAACAATGCCAATACCTTGAAATTCAATTTGGTATGCAGAGTTTTAGAACGTGTTCCTTAACATAAATTACTGTATTTTATAAGTTATGTTGCTTCTTTAATTTCCTAATTTCAGTGTGAAATTTTCCTAAAATTCCTTCAAGTTTCTTCTTTTCCTCTAATTGCAAGCTTTATATTTAAGTATCAGGTTTTATTCTCTTTCTGTTATATGTTCTTTCTGTAGCAACCTGGTTTTGTACATTTCCTTTTAGCGGGAGGTCCTGGAAACTGTATTCACCCAGGGCAATATTTTAGATGAGCAAAAGGAGTCACCGGTTAAAACCTCTGTAGTATTTTCAGACACTGCTAGGCCAAAAGTTAAAAAAGAAATTTTTGCAACTATTTGCACGCTGTGTTGCTTTTTTACTGGGTGACCTGCTCTCACATTGAACTGTGTGTTCTGAATGTCTCAAAGAATGGTATTTCAGTGGATGTTAAATGCATCAACCACTGGTGTATCATGTACATGAGTTACTGTGAAGGAAAAACATCATCTATTATGAACACACTCTTCCCTTCTTTTCTCAGGTTGTATGTACATTGTATTTTCAGCCTCAGAATGACAAAGAGAAAGGGAGACATGAGAACAATCTGTAAATAGTTTGTGTCTGGATCCATGGACTGTTAAAGTATTATGTACTTTACTTACTGGACTCCAGTTAAACAGTTTTTTCTTTTTCTGTTTTAAAGTCCTTTAGCAAGGCTGCTTTTTCCATCAGTGGATGACAACTTGCTTAAATTCCTTTATGATGACAACCAACGTGTTGAGCCTGAGTGGTATATTCCCATCATTCCTATGGTTTTAGTAAATGGAGCTGAAGGAATTGGTACCGGATGGGCATGCAAACTTCCAAACTACGACACCAGAGAGATTGTAAACAATGTCAGACGAATGCTGGATGGCTTAGATCCCCACCCAATGGTAAAAACAATAGCATACGCTGGTATTTTATATGTTTGCTAAACAAACCTCAATTTGTATTTACAAAACAAATTCATATCACTCTAAAAATGCTTGATTATTGGAACATTGGAATTGGATTGTCTGGGAATTTTGTGTAGGAACTTTACTTGACTGTTGGGATGAGGCTAAGAAAGTTCTCTTTGAAGCAAAAACATTGCAATTTGTATTTTTCCAATTATTTCAGAGGACTTTTTCTTCAGTCTGCTGACTATAGCCTTCACAGCTGCAAGTCTTACAGGATGGTTATGACATAGCATAGAGTGAAAAGCACCACTCTTTCCTTTTTGAAGCTACTATTCCTTATCTTCAGCCAAACCTAACATTTCCTCTGTCTTGTCTGAAGCACACTCTCTGTTATAAGTCTGTAAGCGTGGGAGAAGATACTGTTGCAGTTCAAGAAAATCAGCAGCTTCTGAACTGCATCTAGCTTCTGTTCCTTTATTTAAAATTTTGTAAACCTCAGCAGTGGTGTGTACTTGAAAATATTTGGACAGGAAGCATATCTAGGCGAGCCCGGAATATCTGTAACCAACAGATGAAATACCTCACAGATAATGTGACCGTTACTTTAAAACTGATGGATGTTACTGCTTTGCTGTGTTTACCAAGTCATAGAAACGATAACATATTTTCTTCTCTACTTAGTTCACAGTTCACTGAGTGTGCAGTATCAGTTTTCGTGACAGTGAATTTCCTCTTCCAAATTCTTGGGAACAATGAATAGATTTTTTTAATTTTTTTTTTTTAATTAATGCAATCCATTGCCCTTCTTTTAGGACTCGTAGGCCTTCTGTGTAGTCTCACAGTCCACTGAAGCTTCACTGTGGTTGAAAGAGGCAGTTCTGCCTCCATCTAGCTCCTTTCTGTATGCTGATATGTTTGTGGCTTCTTGGTAAGCTGGATAAAGGACTCAATTCAGTTTAAAAAAAAAAAATCCCCATCCTGTTAGTTACTTTTTAAACTGGATGGGTTCCACTATCTTTGCCAAACAGCACAAGAATGAAAAAATGGTGAGGGGAGGTAGCACCACTTCTGTAAAGTTATTGTGAGACTGGAGTGTTAATCCGTTTTCTATCATACCTTATCTGTGTTTTCAGTTTTCTTTTAAAAAGAAGAAAAAAAAACACCCACAAACAAAACAACTGAAAACCTCACCACCTCATTGGTGCATCTACTCCCCTGCATCTACTTAATCATTTATCTACTCTGTAGACATTAAGATACTTGCTCCTGACTATCACGTGTGTATTCTGTTCTTTTTTCCTAGTATTTTTCCTATGACATAAAATTTTTACAGGCATGAGAGACTGGTTGATGGATATAAGGTTATAGCTGTATGATGTATGGGAAACAAATATTTTTCCAATGTTTTATTATAAAGATTATTACCTCTTTGCTGTTTTTTGCAATTTCAGCTCCCAAACTACAAAAACTTCAGAGGAACCATTCAGGAACTTGGTCAAAACCAGTATGTAGTCAGTGGTGAAATATTTGTGGTGGATAGGAACACAGTAGAAATTACAGAGCTTCCTGTAAGAACATGGACCCAGGTAAGTAACAGTGAAATACTTTACATAAAAACCAACACCAATTAAAAGTTCTGTATTGAATTATTTAATCCTACCTACAGATGAAATTTTAACACAGCTTCTAATGATTATACACACATGGAAAGGAACGTAGTTTCATTCTTCCATGTACCTTCGTAGAAGATGGTTTTCTACTTGTGCCACCTGCTGTCCATACTACAAAGAATAAATATCTGCTTCTCTTGCTGAAAGAATATTTAAATCTCCTTTTTCTTTTGAGTAGATTTTTCTGTCCTTGTTAGATGCCTCTTACGTTTGTGCTAGTCTTGGCCTGCATTTTGCAAGTTATACTGGTTCTGTAAATTATAACTGGTATCAGATGTAATGCAGAAAGCTCTGAAGCCTTATGTTGTTTGTTTGGTTTAAGGAATTAGGGATTTTAAGAAGTGTTTCTTTATCTTGCTACCCTATTTTTAACAGGTGTACAAAGAGCAGGTTCTAGAACCGATGTTGAATGGAACTGAAAAAACTCCAGCATTAATTTCTGACTATAAGGAATACCACACCGATACAACTGTGAAATTTGTAGTGAAGATGACGGAAGAAAAACTTGCACAGGCAGAAGCTGCTGGATTGCACAAAGTCTTTAAGCTTCAAACAAGTCTTACTTGTAATTCTATGGTAACTTTTTCATGTTTGGCTATCAGAATCCTTACTGTTGCTCATTTTAAACTCAAGTGTTTGTGGTGGTGCTTTGGTTCTTGGTATTGAACAGTGAGTGTATTGTGTGTTTGAAATTGTTTGAATAGTAGATAATTATAGTGATGACAATCAAAATGGATCAGCGAATCCATTTTAGTCCTGATGAATCTTTCAAACCAAATTAGACAGGCTCAGTGTGGTTTCCTTTAACTGAAAATTTCCTGGGCAGCTAACCAAAAATGATGAATGTAAAATAGATCATACAAATAACTTTCTGCCAGATTATAATTAGATTTGAGTTTTAAACTTGAGACAAGTTACATTTTCAAAATTGCACTTTATGCAGGACTATTACTTCTCTAATAGGAGTTAAATGATCCAGCATTTCCACTAACATAATTCCCATTTTAGGTGATAAGGTATAGAAAACACTATCCTTAAACTTCTGAAGACATAATAGTGATGTAAATTATTCATATGTTCTATTCTGCTTGTAGCAAGACAGGAGTAAGAATGTGAATAAATCACAAAATCATAGAATCATAGAATTGTTTGGATTGGAAAAGACCTTTAAGATTGAGTCCAAGCATCAACACAGCACTTCCAGATCCACCACTAAACCATGTCCCTAAGCACTTCATCTACACATCTTCTAAATACCTCCAGGGATGGGGACTCAACCACTTCTGTGGGCAGCCTGTTCCAATGCTTGACAATCCTTTCAGTGAAGGAAATTCTTCAGATGCACATATCTGTCTATTATGAGAGGGATTTGAATTGTAAAATAATTTCTGCCAGAATATTTCGAAGCAACCTGTCTTTAGAGAGACTGAAAAAATAGTTCTATGACAGATACTATTTTCAGATATTGCCACAAAGCAAAAATACCATTACTCATGCTATTATTGTATAATTCAAAAGCTGCATGAAAATAGGTTAAAAATAAAGGCTGTGGAATTGGAGGAGGAGAAAAGCCTTGCTCAACTCATTTTGTTCATTGTGCTTGGAAAGTGAATCTATCACACCAAAGTGAAGGTATCTCTCGCAGGTTTAAACAAATGTGTACTACTGTGAGAATCTGTCTTCACATTAATGTTTAACAGATTACAAAATGTTTTGCAGCGTAATCCTGTATTTTCTGCCTACCGAAATAAATAGTGAGGACTGCTTTCTGTGTATATGTAGGAATTAATCTGCCCTTGTGTAAGCATCTTAACAAGTTATGTGAGCTAGTCATTGTTCCTCCAACTCCCAAACAGATATTTAGAGAGATGAATTGCCCTCCAGAGGGGCTTATTTCTTTCAATTGACTATAGAAGGTGCCTGGGGAAACTAGTTCGCCTATAAATGTCTAAACTGGAGATGCCAGAAGTCAGGCAGGATTGATTCCACCTGTGATGTAAAAATGATTTCTGACTTTGTGCTTGAACTTGAAGGTTGGCAGTTTTCACAGCCGAAAAGTGGCAGAATTCACAGCTGAACTGAAAGATTATTAAAAATACTTTTCAAAGGTTAAATAGTTGTGCATCATCAGGTGCTATTAAACTTGTGCTTTAATACCCAGATAAAATTAATCATTCAACTGAATCCTCTATATAGCTGTCTTCCTGTTTGAATGTGTTATCGTAAATCTCATCTTAAATCTACTTGTGAGTAAAAATAAAATCTGTCCAGCTATGTGCTGTGTTGTTACATAGTAAGGTTTGAGTTCAGAGTCTCCAAAATACTACACTTAACATGCTGCGTGTACATGTGCAATAGAAATAAAACTCACACACAAAGGCTAACAGAAGTTTGAGTTACGCAGGGACTCTCAAGCAATATATTATGTATTTTATAGGTGCTATTTGATCATATGGGATGTTTAAAGAAGTATGAAACTGTGCAAGACATCTTGAAGGAGTTCTTTGATTTGCGATTACATTACTATAGCTTACGCAAGGAATGGCTTGTGGGAATGTTGGGTGCAGAATCTACAAAGCTCAACAATCAAGCTCGTTTCATTCTAGAGAAGATACAAGGGAAAATTACCATAGGTGAGTAAATGTGAGTTAGAATTAGTAACAGCTGGGGAAAATGTGGAAATTATTTTAAGTGTGATAGAATGTACTTGCATGTAAGACATTTATTTTCATGACACTGATTTTTTTCCCCTTTTTTCTTTTCCTTTTTTTTCCTCCCGGTTTTGTGTATGTGTCTTGCAGAGAACAGATCAAAAAGAGATTTGATTCAGATGTTGGTCCAAAGGGGTTATGAATCTGATCCAGTAAAAGCCTGGAAAGAAGCACAGGAAAAGGTAATAATCTGAAATCTCTGGGTATATTTGATGCTATTAATGTTATAAATGATATAAATTTATTCAGATTTTTGTTTTCTAGTAGTCTAACATAGTTTATAGCACACATAACACTTTAAAAAGAGGATTCATTACTCCTTATTGCCTTCAATTTTTAAAAATACATTGAACTTGTACAAAAATATTGTCACATGATATTGGTATCGTATTGATAATTCTGAGAAGAAAACTGGATAGTACAAATCTGAAAATGAGGATGCAGAGGACTGTATTTCTTAAGATACCCAAATCAAAACTGGCAAGTTGATTTTTGACTGGCTGATTCATAAAATGCTACATCAGTTACCCCGCACATATAACTGATTTCTGCCTTATTAATTTTTATGATTGCAAAACTTATTAATCAGTTTTCTGTAATAAAAGATCAGTATTATCAAGCTGTCTTTTGAACTTTAGTAGATTTGATCTTGACCTGTGTTTACTTTTGTTTTTTTAAAATTCTTTTATTATTCCAGAAGAGATATGTGAAAGTTTAATTTTGTGCTTTACTATGTGAAGATGAAACTGTTTTGAAAAGCAACTTGAGATTTCTGTCAACCACTCCTTTTCTGTGCCATTGCCACCGTTTTCATAATTTGTTTTCATTTCTCATTTGATTTGCTCTTTTTTCTTTGGTTGTTTTTTTTTGAACTACTGTATTTTACCTCCATGCAATGTGTTGTATTTTGTAACAGAACTATTATGAGGAATTTTGATCCACTTCCAAACCACAGTTTATACTCTCGGGGCTTTGATAGCAGTTTTTATCCAAAAGACTGTGCTCATTTCTAAAGAAACAGATACACGTGAATATCCCAAGCGCAAAGGTCTCAACCCCATGAGAAGCTGGGATGGTACCAGTGTCCATAGCCAAGAGCATACACGCTGTATGGATAGCATCAGGTTTAGATTTGTTTTCTGAAATCAAATGATGAAATAATCTGACTGTAGAAGGTTGCAGCCACATGGTCTTTGGGAAAGGTCCAGAAAAATGCTCAGGTTATTGAATATATGAGGCCGACCCTTACAACTCTGCGGTGATGCTCTGGAGTAGGGTTACAGCTCCTGCATAGAGCTAAGGTTATTAATACTTGTAATTGTGAATATTTCACTTCAGGCAGCAGAAGAGGAGGACTCCCAGAACCAAAATGATGATGCTTCATCTGCTTCTGGCTCAACTTCTGGCCCTGACTTTAACTATATCTTAAACATGTCTCTGTGGTCACTCACGAAAGAGAAAGTAGAAGAGTTAATTAAGCAGAGAGATTCAAAGGTTGGTACACCATGGGAGGCTTATTCTAAAACAATAAATACTGATGTATCTGGTGTGAATATTCAGTTTCAATAGTATTTACTTTAGCTGTAACTTAGTAACTTAAATTCTACATACTACTTTCATGTTTTAGGAGAGAGAACTAAATGACCTTAAAAGGAAATCTTCGTCAGATCTCTGGAAAGAAGATTTAGCAGCCTTTGTTGAAGAGCTTGAAGTATGTTTTATTTTACATATTTTTCTATTAATTTAATTAAAAGCATTAATGAGTTAATCCAGAGTATTTAAATTTAAGCAAAAAATAATTAAAATTGCCACATTTTAGATTAAAAGCAGATAGATCTCCAAATATAGTGGTAAGTAGGAGATCAATATTAGGTGTTTGTGTTCCTAGTTGTGTTCTTCGGGGATTGTCTCTTGCATCTTTACAATTTAATGTTTTTTCCTAAGTCAACGATCATAAAACAAAAATTACCAGGAGGAAATGTGTTTTCAGAGGACACAAAAACCTGGGAATAGTAGCTCGTAATAGTAATAACAATAGTATTTCTACATGATCTAACTGGTTGTGAGGCAATAACTATTGTGAAATGCAAAGCTGTACATGTAGGAATGAGATGTGTAACCACAAGCACTATATGAGGGGCTCTTACTTTGCCTCATCAATATGTCTGGAAAAAGGAAAAGAAAAATTTACCTGTCCTATTGGTGGGTAAATTGCTGAGCCTGAGCTTTCAATGTGGCCTGAAAAGAGCTGAGGTAATCTTTTGAAGTGGCACGGGATAATACAAAGAAGACATTTGTTTTATTTCTCTGTGTGTTTGTGGTAAAGCTGCAATTGGAAGTGTTCATTTCAGATGTCTGTATTACAGGTGTGTGTTCGTGTGGAAAAAAACATTGAAAGGTCTGGAAAATGTGCCTCAAAAATTACTCTAGAAACTAACTGCTTAAATTAAAAGCTGAAATACTGAAAAGTTACATCAGTACCCAGACACCGTACATGAGAAATAGAAACTTGATAAAAGAAAGATTTTCAGTCTAGCAGTGTGCTCAAGTTGGTATTTATTTAATCTTGAGTAAAAGGTCCCCATGTGTTGCCTGATCTAGTTGAGAGACGTCCCTGCCCATGACAGGGAGGTTGGATTAAATGATCTCTAAGGTCCCTTCCAGCCTAGGCCATTCTATGATTCTATGAAAAGTACAGTTCTTAACTGTACAGGGTAGCGAAGAATTGACCAAGATTAAATGGTTAGTTTTCTGTCACTGGAAAGTGTGTTACAGGTCAAGTGAGAATTAAGGGAAGTCTTATGCTCCATGTTAAAAGGAGATGAATCTTAAATAATCAGTGTGTTCCACTTTGTCCTCATTAAAAAAGAATGTGTTCCTCCCACCTCCCCTTGTTTGTTAGAAAGTAGAAGCACAGGAGAGAGAAGATGTTTTGGCTGGCATGGTTGGCAAACCAATAAAAGGCAAAGTTGGTAAACCCAAAATGAAGAAACTTCAGTTGGAGGAGACCATGCCGTCACCATTTGGGAGAAGAATAGTTCCACAGATTACGTCTGCCATGAAAGCTGATGCCAGCAGAAAATTGCTGAAAAAGAAAAAGGTAAAGCAAAACTATTGCTATAGTTAGGTTATTTAATTGTTGTATTTTTCTATATTTTTCTACTCTTGTAGCATAAATCCCAGTGGCTAGCCCTCATTAATGCTGTATTTATGCTGATTTGCTGACCTAATGCCTGAAGTGTTTTACATTTGCCAGCCTCTGGTAGCTACTTATTGTTCAAGTATTTTTACTGAGACTTCTTTCCAAGGCTGTCCAACAAATATCACTATATTAGTTTGCTCTCATTTATTGTCTTCTACAGAACTATTCCAGTTCTACCTTGAAATATAAAGGTGTAGGTTATTTAATTTTGCCCAAATTTTTTACATTTTTAGGGTGAAACTGATTCTCTAGCAATAAAAATGGAATTTGATGAAGAATTTGGTGGTGTGCCAGCTGAGGGGGCTGCGGATGATCCACTGAATACATCAGCCGCAGCAGCTAAACCCCCTAAACCTAAGAGAGAGAAGAAGGAGCCTGGTAAGACAGTAGAATCATACAGTGGTTTGGGTTGGAAAGGACCTAAAGACCATCTAGTTCCACTCCCCCTCCCCTGGGCAGGGACACCTCCCACTAGGCCACGGTGCTCAAAGCCCCATCCTGCCTCGCCTTGTCCTTCCATGATCATTACACAGTCATATTTAACCTTACTTGTGTGTACTAATTGGGCATTAAATATATTTTTAACACGTAGTGAGAAGGGAAATCTAAAACCATAATCAGTTATTTCATCTGATTTTCCACCCTAAAGAGATGTGTAGAGACACTTGAAAGAACTCTGCTTATTTTTCTGTTATGTAAGCTGCTTTTCTAGTGATGGTGAATCTTACATTATCTCCACTTGATTTTTGGGCAATCTAAATCTTTGAATTTGTGAATAGAAAACTACATTATTTTTACATTATTAAACTAATTCTGTGCAGACTGAAATTTCTAGTTTAGTCTCTGATGTTGAAGGACATGACAGTCACCTTCAGTCTGAGTTACAGCCTAGATTGTAAAACTTGATTAAATAAATGTATTTTCCTATCGATATATTGATGTAGTCAGTCATTCTGACTTTTTAAAAGTTACATGTGTTATGGCTTGGCAGACTAACCAATGTCTATGTTAACTTTCCTTTTTCCTCTGTTAATATGAATTTATTATTAAAGTTTGAGAAATACAGCAGCAAAAAAAGAAAACTAAAGACAAAAGAGGAGCTTTAAGTTTTAGTTTGCGGTGGGGTTTTTTTTAGGAAAAAAGGAATAAAAAGTGGTTATGCAAGTACTTCTTCTGAGGTAAGATCTGTTTTTAATTATTCAGGATATTACCCAACCCGAATAGGTTAACTGAGTCCAGTTATGACTGAGTTGTCCATATGCAGCTCAAATCTCCTCTAACCGGGATTGAGCCAGAGCCAATTAGTCCAGCTTGACCTGAGCTTGCCCTACAATTGACTGACCATGTTGTTACTCGCTGAAAGGGTATCCTCTGCTTTCCATGTTATTTTTTTCAAAAAGTATTCCTGATCGTGTTCCCTGAATTATGGAAAACTGCTCGCTCTTCCTGGCAAACCCAAGCAACCTTTAAAAAAACGGAAGCTTGACTGCAGAGGAGCTAAAACTTCAAATTAGAGACTTTTATGTTTTTCAGTCATAAACTAAATTTGTCTGGTAGGAGCAGACAAGGTTCTGTGTGCAATTATTTCATCACATTAAAGAAGAAAATATGCAACATTTAAAGTAGAACTTTTCAAGATAAAAAAAATATGCTGTATTTATGCATCATAAACAATTAGAAAAAGATGAAAATATTTTTGCCCTGACTATAGTAAATGCTTTAACTTGTGACAGGTACTAGGGTAAGAAGAACACCATCGTCTGCAAAATCCGGTACAAAAAAAGTGAAGAAAAGAAACCCATGGTCAGATGATGAATCCAAGTCTGAAAGTGATTTAGAAGAGAATGAGCCTGTGATCATTCCAAGAGATTCTCTGCTTAGGAGAGCTGCAGGTACCCAAGCTTTTGTGAATTGTGCATTGTGACTGCAAGTTTCAACTACAAACCTACATTTCTCTTTGACCGTAGCCTTCTTTAGCACTTTGTGTCCTAGCAAGAGCTTGCATTACGTTTTCTTAACTACAAACAAAAAAAAATATTCTAATGCAATTACACTGTCAAATAAGGCCCCAAAGTCCAAATGGCTAGTAAAAATTTATCCAGAAAAACTCTGAACAGTCTATGAAAGGCCAAAATATCAGAGACTGAAAGTTTGGAAAATATGCAAATATTTGGTTGTTTAAGGAATACAGATTTTTCTGCAAAACTATTGGTTGCTTTTTCAAGCACTTAATTAGGAAGAATATTCAAATGATAGGTTCAAAAAAACTTTAATTGTAAGTGAAAGATTCTAATTTCTTAGAAGTACTTCTGCAGTGATGTCTTCATAATGCAATATGAGCGTATCTGTGCAAGCCACAAGTGGTGTTATATGCTTGGCAACAGTTGAAATCCTGTCCCTTTCACGCTCAGACAAGTTTCTTTTCCCCCAGTCTTTTGTCTGAGGCAGGGATTGTTTACTGACATCCACTTTGATTTGTTTATGTATTAACAAAACCAATTATCTTGAAATTTGTATTTATGTGATTTTTTTAGCGGAGAGGCCCAAGTATACTTTTGACTTCTCAGAAGAAGAAGATGATGCCGACGATGATGATGATGCCAACAACAATAATGATTTAGACGAGCTCAAAGTAAAAGCCTCTCCAGTTACAAATGACAGAGAGGATGAGTTTGTTCCCTCAGACAGTTTAGAAAAAGATGAATATGACTTCTCCCCAGCCAAATCAAAGCCATCTCCAGAGTAAGTACTGTAACTCAGCAATATTTCTTTACTAATAAATTTTCGAATGCAGAAATCTTTGAACAAAACTGAGAAGCATCAGCCTTTATATGTACCATGTAAAATAAAATATATGCGTTTCTGGGAAGGCATTAAAGTGTACGTTACCTCAGCCATGCAGCTCACCTAGGCAGAGGTAAACATGACTTACCAAATTATGGTGCATTGTCAGTAATGTCATCTGTTAAGCTGCATTTTATAAGATCCGCAGTTTGTCATCCTGTGCTAGTCTGGTATACAAAACTATTGAAAAAAATATAATTCTGTTAATTTTAAATGCCTCAAGTTTGTGACTGAATGGTGATTTTAGGAGTTTGACTGCTGGAAGCATACACAAAAATGCTAGAAATGCTTTGTAATGCTACAACAGGAATTTAAACTCATATAGAAATTATAATGTCTAAATATTTCAGTATATAGTTAATGCAAAACATAATTTCTTTTTTCTATTTGAAGTAGGAAAACATCTCAAGACAAGAAAAATCAGGATTTTGGAAACATCTTCTCTTTTCCATCTTACTCTCAGAAGACAGATGATGGTGAGCTTGTTTTCACTGATCTATTTAATCTTACATCAACTGTTATGGAATATATTAGGAAGTTCATGTGGTATACACAAACTTCACACAGTAGTTGTAGAAGTTGTAGTAGTATCAGAAGCACTTTTTTGAGATTATTTATGCCTTACTGATGATTTAAAATATACAGTGAACAAATGTTATTCTAAACATACTCCATGATTGTAGATACAACAAAATTGGACAGTGATGAAGAGGATTCTGGTCCTGTTTTCTCATCATCTTTTGCCCCAAAACAAACAGAGAAAATTCCAAGTAAAACAGTCGCTGCTAAAAAAGGTATGTACAGGATTGTCCTGCAAGCCAGTCCATTTATTTAAAACTCATCTCCTCCACCTTTGCATTGTCTCTTCACATCTCCAAAGTGGGAACTGCATTTATTTATTTTGAACTGGATGAAATCCAGGATAGAGTGTGAACTTCTTCCAGCTCCTTAGTGATATTAACTCCTCTCCTACCACTGTCTACTATAGTGTCAGAACTTAATAGTTTCACGTATGGAGTTGATGTTCAGCCTTTAATTAGTTTAATGGGAAGTTTTTGCCCTTGGCGAATAAGTGAAACAAGATGACCTTGGGGTTGAAGGTAGTCTTCTATAGCAGATCTAACTTACCTGCTTTAAAGGGAAGGAGAGGAAGTGCAGAGGAATCCCTAAGAAATTCTTTTGTCCTGAGTAGGTCTCATGGTTTAACCCCAGCTGGCAACTAAGCTCCACCCAGCTGCTCGCTCACTCCCCACCCCTGGGATGGAGGAGAGAACCTGAAGAGTAAAAGTGAGAAAACTTACAGGTTGAGATAAAGACCGTTTAATAGGTAAAGCAAACTAAGGAATTCATTCACCACTTCCTGTGAGCAGGCAGGTGTTCAGCCGTCCCCAGGACAGCAGAGCTCCGTCACACGTAACAGTGACTCGGGAAGACAAACTCCATCACTCCGAACGTTCTCCCTTCCTCCTTCTTTCCCCAGACTTGTATGCTGAGCATGGCACCATACGGGATATCGCTGTGGTCAGTTGGGGTGTCCCCTCCCAACTTCTTGTGCACCCACAGCCTCATTGCCAGTGGGGTGAGATGCAAAAAAGGCTTTGACTCTGTGTAAGCACTGCTCAGCAGTAACTAAAACATCCCTGTGTTATAAAGACTGTTTTCAACACAAATCCAAAATGTAGCCCGTAGCACCAGCTACTCCGAGGAGAACTTACTCTATCCCAGTTAAAACTAGCACAGTTGGTTATCACAGTAGGTTCCGCTTGACACAGTTGTTTTTCTTCTTGCAACAAAGTATGAAAGGCTCTTCTCAAACTTCACAGGTATAAATTCTTTCAGTTATTAGGCTTTTAGAACTGGCATCTTGCGCTTCAGAATTAAGGACAATTCCAAGAAGAGTATGTTTATTTTTTTGGATTTGTTTCTGTAGTTATTTTTGAGTATTTGTAGAAAAAAGGGTTTTTTGCTTTGTCTGCCTTGTAGAATATTGGTTTATTGGTTGTTACTGCTACATTTAAGAAAAAGACCTGCACTTGTTTCTAAATGTATGTTAAAGACTATGCTAGATGCTTGCCATAATTAATGGTGAAAATAATTCTTTTCTTACCTGGTAGTAGTTTAAATAGGTTATAAAATACAGTTCTTGGCATGTGATAGACTAGAGATTTTGTTGCTTTCAGATCTTTGCCTTCTTGTACCTCATTTGGATAATTTCTTTTTTTCTTGCTGCTCAGTCTTCTGTCCCCCAAAAGCATTCTTCTCTCCCTGTGATACTGTGGCCTTTGTTTTGAAGACTTCTTCGGACTAACTTGCAGATGTGTTGTTTCTTCCCCCAAAAAATATCTCAAGGAAATCTGCAAGAAAGCAGCCAGTTACAATAGTTAACTTGCTCTCTTAAAAATGAGAAAAAAAAGTAATCTTGTGTTGTATATTAGGTACCAGTGAACTGCAGCATCTTTTCATCCCTCACTGCTTCCTTCCCTATTTCAAGTCTTTTTCCTGCTGCATTGTGTCTAATTTGTAAACTGTTTGAATCAGCAAACGTCTGAATGCTTCTCAAACACTTTTAGCTAGTAAAATTCCATAATACAAGAAATGAAGATTGTTTACAGAAATAGCTCATCTCTAATAGACTGGTCCTTTATGTTAAACTTCTGTGCTACAGTAAATAAGAGAACTGTGTATAGAGTTGGTAGACATGGATGCAATTTAACAGTCTCTTTTTCCCTCTCTGTTTTTTTAAGACCTGAATGTGATGAGCTGTCATTAACCTAACTTGAAGCCTTAAAATACAGCCATGATCCGTTTCTGATTAACCTTTACAAAAAAAGTATAAACAGGCTCCCTTTCAAGCAAAAGGGGTTTTTTTTGCCTTTTTGCCTTGGGGACACCATCTCCTCAGTGCATGACAGTATGACAGGTTGCTTTCACTAGTTTTCATCTCTTCTCCTTTGCCTGGATTAGACATGACCACAGTTTCATGGTCCCAGTTTGACAGCTCAATGATAACCCAACTTGCTTAGTTCAGTGATCATCTGGTATCCTTGTGCTGGTTGTCTTGATTTGAAGTCCTTCTCTGTCCCCTGTATCGGCAGCCCCTTCAAAACCCATTTTCTGGTATTGTAATACTCCATATGCTCACCCTCACACCGGGAGCGCCTATTGTGTGGCTGAAACAGTTATTTCAGAGCTCTTTGATTTTCTGCGACTTCGGAGCTTGGATTTTGTAAGGATAGAAGCCGAAAGTAAAGAACCTTTGTTGTGCCTTGCTCTCTGTACAGTCACATTTCCTTCTCAATGAGAAGAAATAGAGGAATAGGTATGAGTTCATCTTCTTTTCAGACTTCGATCAATTTGAAATGAAATCTTATGACCTTTGGTGCTCACTACAGAGGATCAAAAGACTGCTGAGCTTGCTTTCCATGCACTATTTGAGAGGTCTCTGGTTCTAGTGCTTTACAGTTAGCCTAAGAGAAATCTGAAAAGCAGTCTTACTCTTTGATTATAAGCACTTTGAACAGCCCGGCTGTGGAGACAAACAGTGACATGTACCCTTTGCATCGGCTGTAGGGCTGAAAGCATTCCTGGACTTTCTGCCAAAAGCTTGGTCTTCTTGAGAGCCTGTGTACATTGACCCCACTGCATGCTACCATGTCCTGTTATGGTGCCTAGTGGAGAGCTTGGCTGAGCTGACTGCAATCTAGTTGTTGCCAAAGATCCTTCCCACTTGTGCAGGCACTAGCTATATAATCTGAAGTAGTGGTTCAGATTCCCAGTAGAGTTAGTACAGGAGGAGATGCATGTTCTGAAGCCATGGGCACTATTGCTTTAGCCACCAGGTAACAGTTAAGAGGTTTGCTGTCCTTTGGACTTGGCATTGTGCAGGCAGACTTCATGGGAATTGACCAGTGATGACAGGCACTGTAGCAAGGGAAGAACAAGTCTAGTGTTTGTGGCAGCATGTTATACCGCTTCCATTCCTCAGTTATTTCCTTCTCTCCATGTTTGTGAGAAGTCTGCCCCTTTTCTAACATCAGTTAACAAACTCAAGGACATAGGACCAGATGGAGGTAGTTACATCTCATGATTATACCTGTTGGACAGTACTTGTCAATGGAGCATACTTGACTTCTGTCTGGTACGCAAATGTCACATTAACAGTGTGGTGAGCTGTGCAGGGCACAAATACCGATTGTCCAAAACATAGGCAGTCCTATAGGAGGAATCTAAACCTCAGCTCCTGATGCTGAATGTCACCTAGACCTAAAATAGATCCCTTCTACTAAGATTCTTGTGGTCACAATTTCTGCTTGTCATCTTCAAGTTGATGAAACTTTTGAATCTTTCCCTTCCCTAACTTTTAGTCTATGTTTCTTCTGCTGGTAAAGGTTTTTCACATATGGTCTTTGCTGCCTTATGGGATCTTGTGGTGGGCTGGCCCTGGTGGACATCTGGTGCCATCCAAAGCCACTCTATCAGTCCCCTCCTCAGCTGGACAGGGGGAGAGAAAATACAACAAAAGGCTTGTGGGTGAAGATTGGGGCACTGTTTACTGCCTCAGGCAAAACAGACTTGGGAAAATTAGTTTAATTTATTACCAATCAAATCAGAGTAGTATAATGAGAAATAAAAACTAAATCTTAAAACAGCTTCTTCTCACGCCTCCATTCTTCCTGGGCTCAACTTCGCTCCTGATTTCTCTGCCTCCTGCCCCAGCATCACATATTCTCACTCCTCTCTTCTGACTGCTGCCACGCCATTTCTTTTTCCCTTCTTAAATACGTTATCCCGGAGGTGCTACCACCGACTCTGATGGGCTCAGCCTTGGCCAGCAGTGGGTCCATCTTGGAGCCAGGTGGCATTGGCTCTATCAGGCATAGGGGAAGCTTCTAGCAGTTTCTCACAGAAGCCATCCCTGCAGTCCCCCCCTCCCAAAATCTTGCCACAGAGACCCAGTGCAGACTGTTACTCTCAGGTAACACTGCCCGCTCCTTTACTGATAACTAGCTACTCACTTCTAGTGATGCATCTAGAAAGGATTTCTTCTGTTTTCAGTTGCCGTGTACGTTTTCCAGGCTTATTGGCAGGTCTCTGTGGCTTACTGGTTTTACTTTATGCTAATACAGCTGTGGTTTTGCAGTTGAGATACCTAGAGACACCAATTTCAAGTTGTTTTCAAATATGATTCGTGATCTCCATCCTAAGCATAGTTACATCCCTCAAGTCTTATGTAAAATGCTGCTATAGCCAACACTTTTCTCCACACCCACTCCCGCACTCGACT